AGAGACTCTGAAACTTTCTTTCGAATGTTAGAGTAATAAAAACAATTGGAAAAAATATTAATGGAAGAATTTAAAGTTTAAACGGCTCCTCCAAAAGGCATAGTGAAATATTATAATGATATGTGCAGAGTTAGAAACCACAATGTAAGACCATGTTTGGCATTTCCCAAAGAACTGAAGAAAAAAAATTCAATCCTTGATTTGCAGTATTGCAGGATTCTATGGAGAAAATATTGAATGATGCAGGAAGCATCAAAAGAAGATAGGAGAAATACGCAGAGTCATTGCACCAAACAAAATTGGTTAACATTCAACCATTTCAGGGGGTAGCATATGACCAAGAATTGGTGGTATTGAAGGAAGTGCAAGTTGCACAGAGGCAACTAGTTAAAAACAAGACCACCCCAGGCATTGATGAGATACCAATTGAGACATTTAAACAAATGAATGCAATTTCTGGAAGTGCTCACTGGATTCCAAGAAATTTAGAAGACAGCTAACTGGCCAACTGAGTAGAAGAGATTTGTATTGCTTATTAGAATGAGAAATGATCCAATAGAGGGAAGAAATTATGAAGCCATCTTCTTAATATTACATGACAGTAAAATTTTGCTGAAGATCATTAAAAAAATAGTCTCAGCTGTATATTAAGAGGAAACTGCCAGAAATTCAAGCTAGATTCAGAAGAGGATCTGCAACGAAAGGGTCATTGTTGATACCAGTTGGATTTTGGCTATTACCAGGAAGGTATCTACCTGTGTTTCATTGACTATGCAAAGACATTTGAGTTGATCATAACATATTTTGGAATAACATAGGAGAGCCAATGAAAAGAGGAAACCCTTCAATAGATGGATGGACACAGTACCTTCAACAAGGGGCCCAAATATAGTAGAGACTATAAGGATAATGTACAATCCTGCAATGTTTCGTCATGCTCTATATAAATTCACTATGACTAGGAATCAACATAGTGGTATTTAATAATTACAATAATTAATAGCTGAGAAAACTGACACACAGAGTAGTTAATTGCTACCTTTCTGTGGTAGTTACACAATGTTGTGTCAAGTTGATACATAAAGTGTAGTGGTGCAGTTTAGGTTCTCAATCAGGTCACAGCTTAATGACCTCATTTAGAGGTGAAACTGAGATAAATGGCTTGCTGGAGGCCCGCCTCCCTCACTCTCTGCTTCACTTTCCTGTTGGTGAACCATGTTCCTGAGACCTGCCAGAGACTTGTGATGCTTCCACGCCATTGGATCCACAAGACTGCACCCACAGGCCGCCATCTTCCTGAATTCTCTACCCTTGCATGTAACTGCGTGCATCTGAAAAAGGATTTATGGACTAGTATCGTACTTAGGGAATTGTTTTGGACTGGGCTGGATGTTTTCTTAATATCCAATTACATATATGAGTGTCACTGGATTTGTTTCTCTACTCAACCTGGTCTAACACACTTTCTTAATGAAGTTTTATTGACTTACTAGTAATTTTACTTACTTTAAGATCGCAACATATAAACATTCTGCTAATCTTGGTTCTTTCAAAAATATTTTGCTGGTGTTTGTAATGATCATTAAAATGTGTACAGGCTTGTGTTACAAATATGAAAATATCATTTGGTTAGTTCTTGCATTCCTTAAACTATTTTGTCATGAAGTTTATTTTAGGGCTCTGTTGAATAGTTCTTGGGACAGTACTGTATTGAACTGTTATTGACTTGTGTGCTGACATGCAAAGGTAACAGATAACTTAATTTGCATACATTTTTTCTAGGCAACAGCGTTATTTCCCATTAAAACTGCGCTGAAGTAGTAGTGTTCTATGTACTTGAGTTCATGATCATTTTATATATGTCGTAATATCTTATTTGAAGAATGTTGCCAATAAGTATTTCTCGTAATATTTTATACATCTTGTAATTTATAACTTGTAAGTTAGGCATGGACCTGCTTCCAACTTACGGAACATTAAAATCCCTCTCTCTGTTGTAGAAATGTAGACAACCAGTTTCCTGGGCAAGCAGTTGCTGCTGGGATCCCGGTATATCCTGCTCTCAGTCCACTGCAGATGCTGTGGTGGCAGCAGATGTATGCTCATCAGTACTACATGCAATAGTAAGTTCCTTTGAATCCCCTTTTTAGTTGCTCAGTCTGTCTTTTCTTTTTTATCCTAAGTAACTTGACTTGGAATTTAATTTGCTTATGTATTCATTGGTTACTGAAAATTAGTATGAAAAAGGATTCTCTCGGACAGTGTAAGATATGACAAAATAATAATTTATAAATTATCAAGGGTTCATGAGGAAGGGAGGCATGGGGAGTGGTGGGGAAATGAGGAGCTGATATCAAGGGCTCAAGTAGAAAGCAAATGTTTTGAGAATGATGATGGCAACAAATGTACAAATGTGCTTGACACAGGATGTATGTATGGATTGTGATAAGAGTTGTATGAGCCCCCAATAAAATGATTTAAAAAAAAAAGAAAAAGGATTCTCAAGTATCTCAGTTATACTTTGTTTTCAAGTATTTGGCTAAAGGAAAAAGGGTTTCTAGGTTACATCCACAGCTAACTACTCTCAGCTAACCCCTCCTTAACGCCACTCCTCCCAACCCCCACTCCCCCACCCCAGCTGTACTTCTCAACAATATTCAGCTGCTTTCTTTCATATAACAGTTTTATACTTAAAGACGTCCTGATGATGCTGTGGGCTAGGTGTTGGGCTATTAACTGCAAGGTTGGTGGTTCAAACTCACCACCACTCTTTGAGGAAGTCTCAGAACCCTATGTTGGTCACCATGAGTTGGAATTGACTTGATGGCAGTGGGTTTTTTGGTGTGTGTATTTAAGAGGAGACCATTTAGGACAGTTTCCCTGGAAGAGGCAAAGCCACATGAAGAGAAAGGGTGCTGAATGGCAAAGGAAATAGAAGAGTCTTGTCAGGGGGGCTCACATGACTGCAGGGATAGGTGAGCATGTTGTACTGTCAGTATTACAAGAGTACCTCTTGAATTTGGTTGGGATGGGAACAGTTTGGCACATATTAGTTCCTCAGCCTTTCCTCTTGTGCTTTCAACATTGACTGACTAAGCTTCTCTCATGATTGCTTTTACTTGTGTTTGTGATCCTAGTCTCTGCCTCATCCTTTTTATCTTTCTGATCGCAAGAAAAGTCGTGTTCTGCAGTAGCTTCATTTCCCCCATTGTTTTTAGTGGTAATATTCCTTGTACAGTTTGACAGCTGTGTATTTACCCTGTGCCTCATGGCGTTTACAATGTGGTAGGGAAACAGGCTGCAGTCCTTGGTCAGGCCTATTGGATTGCTTTCTTCCACAGCCTATGATAGTTCTCTCTGGATGACTCCTGGTTCATTATCTGCTGTGCTTCATCTTGTATCTCTAATTCATTGCTAGTAGATTTCAGATTTACCTCTCTATTCTCTTATGTGTACTCTCCTTCCTGGCATCTTTGCAAGTGATAATCTCATTGAAGGAGTCCTGGTGGCCCAGTGGTTAAGCACTTAGCTGCTAAGCAATAGCTGGCTACTCAAACGCACCAGCTGCCCTGCACCAGAAGATGCAGCAGTCTACTTCTACAAAGAAACCAATGTGGCACCTTTGTTTTGTCCTGCAGGGTCATGATGAATGACAGTCCGCTCAACAGTGGTGGATTGCTGTGTGTCTTCATGATCATTTCCCAAGCTCTGAGCTTTAGTCAGCTTTGATTCCGCCTTCCATTGCACCAAGAGGAGTTATATGAGTCTAACTGAAAAAAAGAATCGTAGAGATTTATATATGAAATATACAAGCTTCACACATTTATATTACAAAATATAAATGTGTGAAGCTGTTGGTTCTCAGCACATAAGTCTGAGTCTGTACACTAAGTCTGTAGACTAAGTGAGGTGGTGTTTCCATCTCTCTGGCCCTTCTCCAAAGAATTCTATGCTTTTCCTAGAACTCAAGGTGATTCCACAACTCATTTTAAAAGTGATTTAATCATGGAGGAAACAAGAAAGAAAATATTCTGAAATTTATTGTAGTAATGGTTGTACAGTTCTTCCTGAAATGATTGAACTATTGAATTGTGTGATATGTGAAGTCCAAAAAAAAGAAAAAAGTTCTGTGCTTTTTGATTTGCAGCATGTCAAAACAACAGTTTTGGCACCCTTGAAGATTCAAACCAAGTTCCTTTTCAATGTTCTTAGAGTTTGGTGAACAAAAAAATCTGACAGGACAAGATCAGGGCTCTAGGGTAGATAGGGTAGCATTTCCCAGTGAAATTCTTATAGGACATCTGTAGCTTCCCTTGAAGAATGAGCAAGTGCATTCTCCTGATGGAAAAAAGTTCCGTGGTACAATTAATTGCCCTTACCCTTCTTTCTCACCAATGCAGTTTTCAACTCTCTGAAAATGTTTTCTAAATAAGCCTGTGATTGTCCTGAGCCCCAATAAATTGTTTAAAAAAAAAAGAAAAGAAAATCTATTAAGGTGCTCCTTTTGGAATTCTCCTGAAACAATCAGCCTAACTTTTGAGTTGACTTCTCTACATTGAATTTAGCTGGCCCAGCAGATGCCCTTGCAAGGCGCTGTTGGCTTGGACCTTTTTGGGAAGGCACCCCAGTGAGACTAAAACCAGGGTATTAACTGTTTTGCAGCCCTCCACTGACACAGAGATACGTTTCAGTACATTTTGTTGGTAGTAAACCCATGCATGTGTGAACTAGAATTCTAGTAGCAGTGTTTTTTGACATACCCTTGTATGTTCTCTAGTTTCTGTCTTTTCTTTGTATCCTACTCCTGATATATTTTCCTTGGTACAGCCTTGCTGTACTGCAATGGCTGTCTCTCTTTTTTAATACTTTGCTACATTTCATCTTGTTTACATCTACTAATTGGTTATTCTTCATCTTTCAATATATCCAGTGACTCATTTGCCTATATTTTGAAATCTAAAACCCTATCTTTTCTCTTAGTTTGCCCCATTACACTAACCTAATGCCCTCTGCTGTAGCCCCTTGACTATAGATAGGCTGTTTTTACTTTGTGCTAAAGGGCTTTACAAAGCTCTTGGAAAATTTTCATGATCTTTAATTCCATTTCCACAAACTGTTAGATGCTTTCTTGTCTGTTGCCATTGGGATAGCTGTCTTTTGAGTGATACTCTCTGCGCAGTAGTACTCTAGGTACATTGCATCCCGTAGCTCATTTGTAAGTCTCATGGGAACCCTGAGACATAAGAATGTGTTACTGTGGCTTGCTACTCAGTCTCATGTACAAGAGTATCAGGTAGGAAATGTTTTAAAGGTTACGAAGCCCTACACAAACACAAGGTATTAGTATACTGGTTTAGGCTTTTGTAGCCTGGAAAACTTTTATTTTGCTATCTGAATATTAAGCTTTTTGTTATAGGTAAATTAGACATAGAAATGTAGAAAAGATAGTAAAGTGAATCTCTGGGTACCCCTTATCAACATTTTTTGATTTATGGCCAATCTTGCTCTATAACTTTCTCTCCTCATTGGATACTTTTGACGGAAATCTAGACTTAATATCTTTTTTGCAGGTAACCTTTTGTAGAAAAGTATGTTCTAACTCTTCATGCAATCCTGTTGCAAGCCAACCTCAGGACTATAGTCCTTTGTAAGTTGAGAAGGACTTTTTATATGTGATCCTCAATTGGAAATCTCAAAGGTCAGAATGAAGGTTGAGGGATTGTTATCTGAGGTCAATTTAACATTTTAAAATATGAATACAAATAACTTACAGTTAACAATGGACACAGAGGTCAATAAATAAACATTTTCAGACAAATCTTTCAAAACAGGGGTCTGAGAGGGAGGTGATGGTGGTGTGGGAGTCTTCCCATGTGGACTAACAAAAAGACTCAGTGAAAATAAGACGGTTTGGACTGGATGGCCATTACCTTATAAGGTAATTTGGGGAGAGAGGGGGAAAAAACCAACCATGGCTATCTGACTCCTTCCATCTCTCCCACCATCTTAGACAGCCAGGCTAAGCAAGGCCTGAGCTACACCCGCTTTATCTATCTGTACTCTACCGTTCATTGGGATTGGTGCTTATCTAAAAAGTGTGGGGTAGAAGTTGTGACAATCCATATTGGGTTTATGAGAAATAAATCTAGCTCTTCAGGAAATTTTAAAATAGTATGAAAAATTATTTTCCCCCCTTGTTAATATTTATTTTGATGGCTATTTCAGTCAAGCTGCAGTTTCAGCTCAGGCCACAACAAATGCCAACCCAGCCCAGCCTACTGCTCCACAGCCTCTAAATTTGGCACACGTTCCTGGAGAAGAACCCCAGCCAGCTCCAAACCTAGTGGTTCAAGAAAACCGGCCCGTGAATGAGAATGTTCAGATGAATGCCCAGGGAGGTCCAGTGATAAACGAGGAAGACTTCAATCGAGACTGGCTAGACTGGATGTATACGTTCTCACGAGCTGCAATTCTCCTTAGCATTGTGTACTTCTATTCCTCTTTCAGTCGGTTTATCATGGTAATGGGAGCCATGCTACTGGTGTATCTGTAAGTGATGTTCATTACTTTTTTCACTGCTTTTAAAAAATTTCTTTCTTAAAGCAGCTTAGTATGTAATCTGTCTTGTCTGTCAGTGGATGTTGAGTTAAGAATGCAGGACTTCTGATACTCTGGCATATTTCCCTATTTCTCATTCCCAGAGCAAGGCAAGCTATGTTGAATAAGAAGGTGTATCATCAGTTATGGAGTAGAGATTTTTTTCCCCCTTTACTATCTTTGATAGATGTTAATTTTGTTAGTGGTGCTCTGTTAGTTTCATAAACCATGAGAAGGTATATGATGGACTCCCATAGAAGGATGCCCAATTTTTCAATAGTAGTTACCAACAGTAAGTCATATGGGGATGGGTCAGATATTTTATGTAAGTAAATGGCAAAGAAATATTTGAATTTTGAAAAATTTGAATATAAGGTTTTTATGACTTCTCATGCAGCTTAAAACAGCACAGTGGACTCATGCAGTCTGTATGACTTGAATTAGTTTCTGTTTTGCTGTCATTGTTTTGAGAGAGAGAGAGAGCTTTTTGACCTGAAGTAAGAGATTGTAGTTTTTTTATTTATAATTATTTTTTTCTAATAATTTCTTATAATCACTTTTTCTCTTCTAGGATACTTATGCTTCAGAATGTTTCCAATAAAAACAATTGTGACTTTTCTCTTTCTTTTTTTGAATAGACATCAAGCCGGATGGTTTCCTTTTAGGCAAGAAGGAGGTCAGCACCAGGCTGCCAACAATCACGCTGATGGTCATAATGATGGGCAAAATGCAAATAACCTAGAGCTAGAAGAAATGGTATGTTCATGAGGTCTTTGTATATTTTAAACATGGATGTTTCTTCAGGACTATATGAGACTGAAAATAATAATAAATCATGGTCTCCCACATGTTCCATTTGTGGAGTGGCACATGAAGAAAAAAATAAGTTATAAGTTGTGACATGGCTTTAGCCATGTGCATTAGTCATGTATTAGAGTTCAATAGGAAAGATTGACATTATCCTCCCTAAAAGTAACTTTTGAAAAAATTATGCATATGTTGAGATTTATTTTATTATATTGGCGCTTGTCTCTTTCCAACTGAAGAAGAACTGAATTCTCCTTTGTATCATGAGTTCATACTTAGGAGTATGTTTCTTGTTTCGTTTGCAAGGAGCGTCTTATGGATGACGGGCTTGAAGACGAGAGTGGGGAAGATGCCGGGGAAGGCGGCAGTGCAATTCAAAGGCCTGGACTGATGGCTTCAGCGTGGTCTTTTATCACGACCTTCTTTACTTCACTGATACCAGAAGGGCCTCCCCAAGTTGCCAATTAGCCCTGAAAAACTGTGCCAGCCGCAAAGGAGGGTTTGACTTTAGGAAAGTGTTTTAAATAACAGTGCAATTTCAAAAAAATTTATAACTTTCTTTTGATCATGTACAGAAGTGTTTTTTCTTTAAGCTTCTCATGCATATGAATATTTTAAGCACAAATGGACTACTAAATGTGTGATTATTATTATTATTATTATTATTATTTTCAAGATTCTAACAGAAGATAGTATAACAATCCTGGCTTTCCAGGTTTCACTTGTTTTAATTATGTACATTATGCCAAGACAGACCTGTTTGTGTGTCTTATTTCTTTAAAGAGCTGCTTCACATATGAATGTCTATGGTTAGTAGGCTAGGCCCTTCAGTGTAATTTGATTAGATTATTTTCTGTGAATTATTGTAAAATTTTAAACAGAATGACCTCATAGTTTTTAACAAGGAATATTATTTACCTAAAATGTGCTAGTAGCATTCTGCCCAGCCATAAAGCAATAAACTCAATAATCTTAATTTTGAAATTTGAATAAATTAATGGAATCTTTCTATTTTAAGGGCATGTATCACATAATTGGAATTAGTACCATTTAAAAAAGGCAGCTCTCATGTGGAATTAACAGTGATAATGTTTGATACAGGCAGTACTTTTTTAAAATGAGATATGCTGGAAATCACTTCCTGTAATTTTTTTAATAAAAAACGAACAATTACGGTAAACAGTCTTAGGAGCTATTTGTTCATCCTTCCCATGGTGCACATCCATCATGTGCACAAACTATGTTTGGAAGGATTGTTTACGTCTTCACGGTATTTTCAGAACTCTTTCCTTGCTCAGAGAGTTACCGTCTGGGTCTTTGATAGTCTGAAACCTTGGTAAGCTGATTTAAAAGTCCAAATTGAATATTTCATGGGAAAGGATTAAATTTCTCACAGGGTACATAGCTAAAAGAAAATAGGTGTGGATGAGAGAACTTATTTTGAATATCTCACATGAAAATGTATCATAAAGTTAGGAATGTGCTGTTGGCATAGGAATTGATTAGATAGAACAGAAGATTGAGAAAACATATCCGTGAATTTTCTCTAAAATGTGTACATATAATGACAAAGGTAACATTTCAAGGGATAGCTGCTTACCCCTCTTGAAAAGTAAAACTTGGTTTCTGTTAATATCAGAATTGATTCCACATGACATCCCATTTAAATGTGAAGAACAAAACCATAGGAGTACGAGTAGAAAGTGCAGTGAAGGCTGTTTAGACATATGTGACTGTCACTGTTAGGTGCCATCAAATCCTGTGCACAGGAGAATGAACCACTGCCCAGTCCTGTACCACCCTCACAGTTGTTCTTATACATGAGCCCATTGTGGCAGCCACGGTCAGTCCATCTCCTTGAGGTCCTTCCTTTCCTTTGCTGCCTCTGGCAAACCCAGTGTCCTTCAGAGATTGCCTCTCTTGGCAACACGTTCAAACTATGGAAGATGAAGTCTCAACAGCCTTGCCTTTAAGGAGCACTCTGGCGGGACATTTTCCAAGACAAATCGGTTTGCATTTTTTGAAGTTCATGGTACTTTCAATGCTCTTCTCCAGCACAATTCAATTGTATTGATTCTTTGAGGCAATTGAAAATACCATGGCTTGGATCAGGTGCCCCCTTAGTCCTCAAAGCAACATCCTTGCTTTTCAAAACTAATTTGTGCAGCAGATTCCCCTAATGCAACTCTTCTTTTGTTCTCTCAACTGCTGCTTCCATAGCATTGATTGACAACTTCATCATGATGTTACTTATTGACCTAGTTGTGAGGATTTTGGTTTTCCTTACATTGAGCCCTAATCCATATTGAAGGCTGCAATCCTTTGTCTTCATCAGCAAGTGCTCCAAGTCTTTCTTGCTTTCAACAAGCAAGGTGAAGTCATCTGCCTATTTCAGGTTGTTAACAAGCCATTCTCCAATCCTGATGCCACATTCTTCATATAATTCAGCTTCTCCGATGATTTGCTCAGCCTACAGATTGAGTAAGTATGGTGAGGCTACAATCCTGACACACACTATTCCTGATTTTAAACCATGCAGTATTTCCTTGTTCTGTTTGCACAACTGCCTCTTGATGCATGTACAAGTTCTGCATGAGCACAATGAAGTGTTCTGGAATGCTCGTTCTTCTCAAGGTTATGCATAGTTTGTTATTGTTAAGACCCACATAGTCGAATGCTTTGGCATAGTCAATAAAACCCAAGTAAATACCTTTCTGGTATCCTCGTCTTTCAGCCAAGATCTGTCTGACATCAGCAGTGCTATCCATGCCTTCCATGTTCCACACCCTCGGAATCCAGCATGAATCTCTCGTAGCTCCCTGTCAGTGTACTGCTGCAAGTGTTGTTGCCTGCCCTTTGGCACTCACCGACAAAGTTCTGCTTCCAAATTGGTGAGCTAAAAATACTCAGTTGTGGTGGACTTATACTCACTGTTGTTAAGCCCATTACCACCCATAGTGATTGTCTAAGGAAAGGAGTGCATCCCCAAGAGGGCTTTACATTGTTATGGAAACAAACTACCATGTTTCTCCCTCCCACCAGAGGGACTGGTGTGTTTGAACTAATGACTTTCTCAGTGAACAGCTCAGTGCTTAACCTCCTGTGCCACCAGGGCTGTTTGATATGATCCTGTAGAACAAAATTTCACTGCCAGTGAGTTGATTCTGACTCAAAGAGACCTTAAAGAGAAATGTAAAACAACGCAGAGCCTTATGTTCAAAATGAGCACCTAGACATTCAGCGTCACCTTGTTCCTAGAATTAAGATTAAACTCCTTACCATGG